CCGTGACAATGGACTATGATTTCAAAGTGAAGCTGAGCAGCGAGCGGGAGCGGGTCGAGGACCTGTTTGAATACGAGGGCTGCAAAGTTGGCCGAGGCACTTACGGTCACGTCTACAAAGCCAAGAGGAAAGATGGGTGAGTGTGGGGTATCGTCCCGGGCCCCCCAGGTCCTTGATCTCCGCTGGCCGCGTCGGCTCCCCCCGGGGGCTGCAGTCTGCGGCGTCCGCACCCTAACAATCTGCGCTTGTGATGCTGCCTTCCCTGCCTCGGGGATGACATCCACCCTTCCCGCAGGAGAGCGGTGGTCCAGCCCCCGGCCCCGTCCCACCTGTGTCTACCGTCCATTGCGTAACTCATTCGGAGTGTTCTTGGGGGCACGGAAAAAGGCAGCCAGGAGATGTGGGGCAGATAGCCCCCACCCCCCCAACCTTCAGGGGGCAATTGCACCCCAGAGTTCAGGGGCTGGGGGCTTTCACTCATCCTTAGAACGGTGAGGATTTGGTGTAAGGTGGTGCGGGGAGAGGCCAGTGACACAGACAGGCTGATCCCGCCCCCCCCCCCCCCCAAAAAAAAAAAAAAAGTACTCAGGCTGATTCCCGCCCCCCTCAAAAAAATGTAGCAGCTGACAGGGAACTTGAAGTAGTCTCTGCGTCCGACGTTCTTCCCTAGAAATAATTAAATCTCTGGGCTGGAGGGGGAGGCTCCCTGTTTCGTTTGAAATAAGACAGGTGAAGTGTTGTGTTTGTTTCCCTCTTTCCTTTTGTCAGTAGACGGAGGTCCTGTGATATTGACAAAAGAAGGCGATTGGTAGGTGCGGGAGAAAAAGAATTCATTCTTGCTCACCTCCCCAACGATGGGCAAAGAATGCAAGAGCTGGTTGTAGAATCTTTGGATTTTGATTAGAACCAAACTAGTTCATACTGTTCTGTTCTCTGCTCTTCGCCATTGAAAAAAATTGCTGTTTTAAAAAAGAATTGGCCATTGAAAAGAATTTCTTTTTTTAAAAGAAAATTGAGGAGGAGGGTATTACCGTTCAGAGGTATTTGGCTGTTAAAAACAGCATTTTCTAAAGCTGAAATATATTACCTGGAATAGGGGAGAAATTCATATTTATGCAGAATATCGGGCTGTTGTGAATATTGGAAAGGAAATGTCTGTGTACTCAGCCTTTTTTTGTTTTTTAAGATTTACTGAGTTAGCTTTCTAAAATCATTTAAAATGAACCCTAGGCAGAAGAAAGCACACCGAATTTGTTTGGAATGTGTATGTCTTCGCTTTTATGCGTCTGTTAAGCTGTACAGCTATCTTTGTAAAACATAGGGAAGGGAAAAGTTGGCAGAGTGCGGTGGCTTGTATGTAAAGCATTTTTAAATGAAATGGGTGGTCTCTGAGAAATCAGCATCTGGAAATACTGCTGACTCGGTTGTCTAATTAGATTTCTCATTCACGTGCTACTTGGTCATGACATATATTTTTAAAGTGATGCTTGGTTAGCTCTAGTACACTGTTTTCCTAAAGCTTTGAAGCTTCTCCCCAGCCCTCCAGTATTGTAATTTTAGGCATATTCATTAAAAAAACCCATTCCCATGAGATTCTCTGTTGGAGTACATGTGACCAGTCAGTCCATCATCTGTGGTTGGATTCCGATGCCTTTCAGGGGCTTTGAATCTTAGAGAAGCCAGTTGTGTGTCTATAAATTACCAATTGATGCTAGTAGATATGCATATCTGTATCAAAATTGATTAAAATACTGTAATATTGTATACGGCAAGGAGGTATGCTTTGTTGTTGTTAAGTGCCATCGAGTCGGTTCCGACCCATAGTGACCCTGTACAGGGTTTCCGAGGTTGTAAATCTTTACGGGAGCAGAACGCCTCATCTTTCTCCCGCAGAACAACTGGCAGTTTCGAACTGCTGGCCTTAAGGTTCGCAGCCTGATTCCTAACCACTACGCTACCAGAGCTTAAGCACATTTGGTATCTCCTGGGTAGGTTTAATTTAGGCTGTTCGAGAAGAGTGATATAATTTAAATCCTTGAACTTACAGGCGTCTGTTGTTGTTAAGTGCTGTTGAGTTGGTTCCGAGTTTGTATAGCGTTTCCAGGGAGCAACTGGTGGGTTTGACCATGGACCTGTGGTTAGCAGTCCAGTGCTGATCCTACAGCACCGCACCAGGATGTTGTTCTAAAGCGCCATGGAGTCATAGACTAATAATAACCCTGTGTAGGATTTCCAAAGAGCTGCTGGTGGATTTGAACTGCCAGCCTTGCTATTCAAACCGACCTTGAGGTGGAATGCTTGTCCTACGGTGCCAAACCAGGACTTTGTATTATGTAAACATTTCTTATTTATGATAGCCAAAAATAGCTTTATGCTTTGGGAAAAAATAATTTTTTAAAATTTATGATCCTTTGGGTATGGTTTTCAACAACTTTAATGATTTTGTTTATGTGATGAACTTTATTATTATTTTTTTAATGGATCAAATGTCAAGGGAGTTTTTAAATGATTTAAAACAACTTTTGTTTTCCTGAGGGATTTTTTTTTTTTTTTTTTTTTCTAAATTGGGTTTTTTTGTAACCTCATTTTGGTAAAATAAAACATTATATTTATGAGGTTATTTTGATCTCATAGCTAGCCCTGGTGGCACAGTGGTTCCATGCTTGACTGCTAACCAGAAAGTTGGTGGTTCAAACCCACCAGCTGCCTTGGGAGAGAGCAGTTCGACTCTCCTGTATGGTCTCCATGTTGCTGTTGTTGAGTGCTATTGAGTTGGTTCCAACTCAACAACCTTGTTGGGAGCAGCTGGTGGGCTTGAACCTTGTGATTCAAACCGACCTTGTGGTCTAGTGTATTATCCTGTAGTGCCACACCAGGTCTCCAGGGTTGCTGTGAGTTGGAACCAACTCCAGGCGGTGGGCTTGGGTTTGGGTTTGGTTTTAATGTCAGTTAAAGGGAATTTAACATATTTCAGTCCTGGTGAAATAGTATTTGTAACTGTTTAATCGTTTATAAAAAATATGATGGCCAAATCATTAGATTTTAGTACTGATTGTCTTTAAAATGAAAGGATGTATTTTGCAACTGGACCCACAGTCACACCTTCAAAGAGACTCCTGAGACTGACCATACAATAAAACGATTGAAATCAGAGCTTTATTTTGCCGTATTTGATTATTCAGAGGAAGATAGGTCTCGACTGTCTCTTTCCAGTTCTCCTGTGGACATGAGAGGAGATGAATAACTGGGAGAGGGATTTAGACCTGAGGAGTTAGCTTCATGCATTACTGTGTTTGAGAAAATACAACAGCCCAAAAGAGCGTTCCCTGGAGTTCACACCTTAGTCACCATACTTAGGGTGAACTCCGTATTGTCAGTGGTGTAAGAAAAGGGTGTAGAACAGGAGCCCTGGTGGAGCAGTGATGCCTTTGGTTTGCTAACTGGAAGGTCAGAGCCTTGGGGTGACGCTGTAGGATGAGTACTGGACTGCTAACCACAAGGTTGGTAGTTCAAATCCACCAGCCACTCCTTGGAAACCCTACACCGGGTCGATATGAGTCAGAACCGACTTGATGACACCTAACAACAACAACAACCACTGAATGGTCAATGGTTCAAACCCGCCAGCTGCTCCCATAGATACATACAATACAGTTTTGGAAATCATAAGTCTAGAACTCTGTCCTGTATAAAGTTGTGGGTTGGAATTTTTGTTGTTATTGTTGCTAGGAAAGGGAGAAATGCCTTATTTGAGGCTTCATTGCATTCAGGGGGAAAAGGGGCCTTTTCTTCTTGTGTTAATTTCAGATTCTAACAGCGGTGAGGAGCCCTGGGGGGGGGGGCGCTGTAGGATAAGCACTGGACTGCAAAGTGGGTTTGAACCACAGGGTCTGCAGTTCCCACTCAGAAACCCTATACAGGGTCACGTGAGTCAGAACCAACTTAATGGCACATAGCAAGGACGCAACACAATAGAGATAAACCCTAAATGCTTGGAACTCATTTGTCTTCCTTGTCATTTGTGTTTGAACTCCCCCCCAAAGGTGCTCAGAGGAGAGAGCAGGGGGTTGCTCTTCTCTGGAGTCAGTTGCATTTCCTCTCCATAGAAAGCAGGCAGCCAAACACATGTGGCTTGAAAAAAGGGAAAAGTGTAGAAAGACAGAAAACAATTTGTGCTTTTAAATTCAAAACTTTCAGTAGTGGTACTGGGCATCTGATGGAGTTACAGATCAATTTGGGGGTCAGCATTTTATCTCCAAAAGAGAAAAGCACAAGGACCTTTCTTCTATCCCGTTCCTAGGTGTCATGCTCCGAATCCAGAAAGTCCTCGAGAACTTTCCACTCTCTCTTAATTCCATTTTCCTGGCCCCATTGTATATATCGCTGGGATTTTGTATGTGAGTAGACGGAAAACTTACTTGGGGCACTTTAGTAGAAAGCTCAGCAAATAGAAGTCAGTGGTAATGACTTCAAATACCAGGCTCTAGGCAAAGCTCTTTGTTTGCATCATCTGTCTAACCCTCATCAGAACCCTGAGCAATCGGTTCTGTTATTTTTCAGTTTTATAGGTAAGAAAACTAGATTATATACAGCTAATTAGACATTAGCGCTAGGATTGGAGGCTTACATGGAGGTTTCTTATTCCAAATATGCTTCCTAAAATTCCTACATTAAAATAAACGTAAACAAGGCATGGAGATTTGATTTATAGTGACTCACTGAGAAAAACTAATGCCTTATCATTTGGGGGTTTGGGGGTGCATCTCTGAACCGCCTTGTGCTTTTAAAGTGCTAAAAAGTATGTCTGGATCTCTGGATGTGTCCACAGGTATGTCGAAAGAAAGGCCTGGCAACCTACTTCCAAAAAATAAGCCGTTGAAAACCCACAGAGCACAGTTTGACTCTGATACAGCTGGAATCACTGTGTGTTGGAGTGGACTTGATGGCACTGGTTGTATATATGCGTATCACATATGTGTCTATATGTTTACATGTGTTTGTACATGTGAGTGTGCATACATGTTTGTGGCCTCACCTAATGAAAGGCGTGTTGGGGCATGAAAGGTCTCTGTGTCCCGGAAAGATCTCCACGGAAACTACAGACCTGAGTTTGACTTCAGATTTTGCTTCTACTTT